AATGCCTGTCCTGTACCATCTTCATGATTGTTGTCATATTTGAGTCTACTATTTGAGTACTTTTCCAACTAGGGGGCTTATCTCACAGCTCTCTATCAGATAGTATTCTCTTGTGATCCTAGGATGCTTATTGGCTGATTTTTGGACATAGATCACTAGGCCTTTCTTCCTATTCTGTCTTAGTCAGGAAGTTCTGGTGAAACCTGTTCACCCTGGGGGACCTTGTTGGCATTTGAAATGCTAGTGGCATACCTTCCAGCATCATAACAACACATAAGGCACATCAGTACAACAAACTGATAGATGAGTTGTGGGTGTTTGGAGTAAAAACTTTTAAATTTTACTTAATGGCACAATGCCATTTTAATAATTAAGAGCATAATATCAAATGCCTTTTCATGAAAAAGTAAATTGTTAACTAAATTTTATAGAAAAAAAAAATGAGGCTATCAGATGACACTCATTTATTAAGTTTGGGAATCATGTTGTTTAAAAGAAGCATGAATAGTATGTTCCAATCTTTTGCTCCTGAGTGTTGAAACCTCCTTGTAGTGGACTACCATTCTAGACAAAACAAGTTGTCTCCCAGGTCTTTGAAGCTGTTTGTTTCTTAGGAAGTTTTCTGATATCTGCTACCTTTCTTAGGATGTAGGTTGGTCCTCCCTCAGTGAATAAAATTTTTCTAGATCACTTTTCCCTGCTATGATTAGTGAAAGTTTTGTCCTGACAGGCTTTTAATAGTTGCCACCCACAGTTGAAGGAAATGGCTTCTTTTTCTTATTAACTTGTTGATGCAAATACCAATTCCTGTTTTTTTTTTTTTTTTTTTTCCATTGTAGTTACTTTGTTTGCTTACTGATTTAGAAGTTTCATAATGATCCAGGCTTCAGGAGTCTCTACACTTCTCAAACTTGAACAGTTAGCTGTGTTACTTGCTTTTGAGATAATGGATGGTTTAGTAGCTTATAAGTGTCCCTACACTTTTGTATCCAGGCAAATAATACACTGTATTTGTCTTCCTTAGCCTTTGCAAGTAGATGGGGGTGCATGAGCCACAGATTCTCTAGAGTCAAATTAAAGGCAAGAGAAGATGGGGCTGTTCCATGGGCCTAACTGACTTTTGCAAAGGAAAACACTCCAAGTGAGTGTCGTGTTATTCCTCTGACTGCTTCTATGTACCTGTGTGAATGAACAGGGGTGGACTTTTTTCCTGCTTAGTAGAAATCTCAAAACCAAAAACCAAACTCTGCCATTGAGTCAATTCCGATTCATAGCGGCCTTTAAAATGGAATTTAAGAAATGAAATGGGTGACATCACAACAGAACCAGCTGAAATAAAAAGGATAATATCAGGATACTATGAAGAACTGTATTCCAAC